GTCACATTTGCTATAGTCTTCCATTCAGCCAATAATATGGAAAGATAGTTTCAATCCATGTTATGGATAAAGAAGCCAAGGCTCAGTTTCACAACGACACAACTGATTTACCTTCTAGCTTTGCTGGAAAATATTCTACTCTTTCCTCTGTGGTGTGATAAACTTGGGGCAGAGCAAAAAAAAAAATTGTATGTACATGTACATATTTACAATCATGAGCAGCATAATGATATTTCAGTCAACAATGGACCACACAATGATGCCCTATAGATTATATCATTAAGTGACCTTGTAGCCATCTTAGCTTGTGTAAGCACACCTGTGATTGTCATGCACAGCACAATTGCCTAAGAATGCATTTTTCAGAAAGTATTTGTTATTAAGTAAACACACACACACACACACACACACACACACACACACACACATATGCCTCCTGTATCTTCTAGCTGAATAAAAATGGTATTCACTATGTCCTGATACTATTCTCAAAAAATCCTATATATTCACTTACTAAACTATATATTGTTTTATAAAGTATTGTGTTATAGTACTGTCATTGTTTTACAGACAAGAAAACAAGGCACAAAGAAGTTGATAACTTGTCCTTGTCCCACAGATAGAAAGTGTAAAGAAAAGATTTAAGTCGGGGCTCTCTGTGCTGTTGGGCTCTTACTCCAACTCTCCCCGAGACAAATAAGATCCCACTCAGGACTAGGGACGCACTCTGACTGTCTCAGGTCCCATTGAGCTTTGGCGAGGTATGGTCATGTCACCAGGGTCTTCACCCTGGGGTCTGGAGGCCCAGAATATTCTTTGGAATAGCACCCCCTGACTGAGGTAAGGAAGAGAAGAGATAAGCAGTGTTGGCTAAGTGGGGGGAGGAAAGGGATCCCTTGCACACTGTTGGTGGGAATGTAAATTAATACAGCCATAATAGAAAAGAGCATGGTGGTTCCTCTTAAAAATGGAGGTGCATGTGGTCCAGCTGTTCTACTTTTGGGGGGAAAAATCAGTGTCTTGGAGAGACATCTGCATTCACACTCTCACTGCAGCCTTATTCCCAGAAGCCAGGGTATGAAAACAACCTCAACGTCTACACTGATGGATGAATGAATAAGGAAAGTGAGTACAAAATGGAATACGACTCAGTGGTGATAAAAAAGATCTTGCAACAACATTAGTGAATCTTGAGGGCATTACACTAAGTGAAATAATCCTACCACAAGGACAGATAGATAGTACATGATGTCACTTATATATGGAACCTAAAAAAGTCAAATTCATAAAAGTAGATAGTAAAATAGCAGTTTCTGGGGGCTGGGAGGAGGGAGAAATGGGGACATTTTGGTCAGTGGGTATAAAGTTTTGGTTATAAGGGAAGTCCTGGGGGTATGATGTATAGCATAGTGTCATTGTCAATACGCTGTATTGTAGACCTAAAATTGCCAAGCACTATCTGAAGTATTCTCAACACACACACATGCACTCACAAACACGCACACACACACACACACACACAAACGGACAAACACACACAAATGGTAGCCACATGAAGTGATGGGTGTGTTCACTGACATGATTGTGGTAATCATCCACGCACTGTTCATCTTTTTCAAGAACTTCCTGGCATTGGTGAATATTTGCATTTATTCCTTACTTATTTCATGGTGCCCTCGCTGGAGTGTGAGCACCACAAGGTTGGAGTCAATGTTACAGTCACTCTGGTGGCTACCATGCCCAGTGCCAGGTACATAGTAGGTGCTCACTTCACGTTTGTGGAATCTTCTTTGTGAGTCTCGGGGTCCCCAGGTCAGAAGGAAGAACAGCAAGAAGGCCTAACTTGCCTTGTCTCAGGTGGCAGCTGCTGGAACTGTGGGTGATTCTTAGGCAAAGGAGATGATGGAGGAGTGGTAACAGGATGCTGTGGAATCGAGGAGTCGGGGTTATCAATGGTGCTTCATGCCCAGGTGGGTGCCTTTGGTGACAGTGTTCTGGAGAAGCCAGGAAGGTCCCGTGGGAGATCCTGAGCCCTGCCTGTCCACAGTAGGCCATTCTTTCCCAAGTTCTTCTGAAGTTGGCCAGGAAACAGGCCCCATGCTGGACTTCAGGAGAAAGAAGAGGTTGGGAGGAGGTCAGGTGAGGAGGTGGGAGGCCAGGTCCCATGCCAGGAGAGCAGAGCATGGTGCTGAGTCACGGAGACTTTGGAGTCTCAGCTATTGGGAGCAAGGAGGTCTATTCGTGGTCTTGCCCTTGCTGTTCCCCAGTTTCCTCGTCTGCAAGATGGGGGTAACAGTACTTCCTGCTGCTCAGCACCATGAAGACTGAGGTGTTGGACAGCACCTGGCCCAGAGCCAATGCTACACACGTGTCCACTGCCATTACCAGCACAGCCTTGGCTTCTGTCTTGACCATCCCTAGGGAGTTGATCTCAGAAGTGGGCTGGGATGGAGGGACATGGAAATCTCCAGAAACTACAAGGAGCCAGTCAGGCAGTCGGGCTCCAGAGCCAAAAGTGGCAGGATAGCTGGGTGGTCAAGACCAAAGATGACAGCATTGTCTGGGCTAGCATTTGCACCCTGACTCCACTGCTCACTCACAGCGTGTGGTTGAGTTAGCCATGCTTACCCCCAAATTCCCGAAACCCAGAGATCTCTGAAATAAGCCCTTTTATTGAGCCATTGTAGATGATGGCCAGAAAGGACCAGTCCTGAGATAAGGACCAGGCCAGAAAGGACTGGTCCCTGTCCTCTACTGCCAGCAACAGGGCGATGAGGCAGAAGTTGGAAAAATGTCTGCTCAACCTTCACGAACCAGACAACTTCACAGTGAAAGTCTGGGGAAGGCACAAGCTGTTTACATTGAACCTATATTGGCCATAGATAAGAGAGGTGGGATTATAGGAAGCAGGGAAGGCTTTGGGCTAGGAGGACATCCCCAAGGAGAGGTAGCCGTTTCCTCTGGATTGGTTGGGGGTGCAAGCAGGATGCCGTGGTACCTAGGGGTTCACAATAAATTTAAGGTTTTAACACACATTCAAAAATATAAAATGCTATTTTTTGTCTGTAAAAGCTATTAGCTTGTTACTAACTAACCTCCCTCGTCTCTTCTCCCTTCTCCCACCTGCATAATTAAATTTAGGACATCTCTTGCCTCTGTTTTCATATCTGTACTAGAGGGCTACCAAGAGTTATTGAGAACAGAACTCAGTTTTTATTGTTGACATGGCTGATAAAGAGCTTAAGCAGATCAGAGCTACAGAAAAGAGGCTCTAAGCTGAGTGTATGAACACCTGAACACCATCCAGGTGTTTGCTGGAAAGTAGTCCAATCTTGTCCTTGTTCACGGAGAGCATCTCCCCAGATCGGCCACTAGATGGCAGGCATGCTCTTTTCTGCCCTTCCTGAGCAGGTCGGAATCAAAACCTCCCTGTGCCAGACCTGGGCTGCGCCCATTGCCTACTTTCTCATTTACTCCTGGCGGCAAACCTCAGATTAAAACAGATGCTCCACCAAAAATACCGAGTGATGCGTAGAGAGAGAAGATGGGCGAGGAGGGGAGGGGGGATAGTAGAGGATAGGAAAGGTAGCAGAATACAACAGTCACTAGTATGGCAATATGTAAAAACGTGGATGTGTAACCGATGTGATTCTGCAATCTGTATTTGGGGTAAAAATGGGAGTTCATAACCCACTTGAATCTAATGTATGAAATATATGTCAAGAGCTTTATAATGTTTTGAACAACCAATAAAAAAATATATTGAAACATTAAAAAAAAAAATACCGAGTGAGCACAGTGCCTGGCACACAGCAAGGTTTTAAAATATTTGCTCTTCCTTCTGTTGTTATCATTATTATTCCCTTTTACAGAGAAGAGACTGAGACACAGAGAGGATAAGGAGGCAGAAGAAACCTGGGTTCCAAGCCAGAGCTGGGGGGGTCAAGTTCAGCTGTGTCCCCTGAGGCTCATCCAAGGACTGGGGTGCCCTGGCTCGCATCCAGCGCCTCCTCTCCCCCCTGCACATGTTCTGGATCAACACTGTGAGATCTTAAACCAGCTATTTAGACTTTCAGAGACTCACTTTGTCACCTGTACAGTAGAGGTTATAATGCCTTCCTCATTTTGGAGACACTCCAGAAACAGCAACTAGACCAGAGTAGACACTGTGGCTGGTGGTTACTGCTGTCAGTGCCTCGTGTTAACATATCTAGAGCTAGTTCTTCTGTTCCTTCACTCTTCTTTCTTCCTGGAACTACAAAATACTCCTGGTTCCTGCTCTCATGGAGCTTACAGTGCCAATATTCCTAGTCTCTGTTCACTTCTGGGGTAATTTCTTCCCAGTGTGTCTGCTTTCCTGGAAGCCCCAGGGATTTGGGTGATATCACCTCCTCATTTCCCTGGGGTTTCTCTCTCTCTCTCTCTGCAAGACCCCATGGTTCAGGGTTTTGTGAGCCACAAGACTCAGGCCCTGTCTCCTCCCTACAATAGCAAGTCCACAAGGTTTTTAGGTACCGCAAGGCGCCTCCAAATCCCACACTACCGGAACCCACCCACTCTGCTTCAATATTGACTTTCTAACTGGCTTTTGGATTAGAAATATTTTTCCAGCATATCTGGGGAAACACAGGTAGGAAGATGGGGTCTCATGAGACCATCCTTGTTTATAATAGAACAGTTCTGGTATTTATAGTTTGTATAATATGCTAAAAAGTCATAGAAGACAACTAATAGGATGGGTGGGAGGGAGAAGAGTTTGAGATAATTCAGGAAAATCCCCAGGAAAGAGAATCTGTTTGGGATATACTTCAAAATTTAATTTTCCAAGAAAATTAAATAATGAACTTTTCAATTACAGGAGTTTAGGGTTGTGCGGAACCCTTCTTGCTGACACCATCAATCTGACCGACTGGGGCCAGGCCTGTGCTTTCTGACTCAGCAAGGCCTTTGGCCACATCCTGCTGATCAGCACTCAGGACTTTGCCTTTTCTGTGTTGCAGTGCCCTGGTTCCCAAGGACCATCCAAGAGCTTGACAGGTTTGCCAATCAGATTCTGAGCTATGGCGCTGAACTGGATGCCGACCACCCGGTGAGTGCATGGCCCTTGGGATGCTCTGGGCGAGAGTCTTTCATTGACCCCCTCCTCCCACATCCTCATCTTGTAGCTGTGTGTTTGTTTACTTTTGCAACAAATATTTATTGAGTTCCCACTTACACCAGGGCTGTAGAAGCAAAGACTAACTTGTTAGACTTCACGTCATCTTCATTATCACGGTCATGCTTGGAGCAAATATGACTCCCTGTCCAGAAACGGTCTATTATATATACAAAGGTCCACATGCATGATCTGTATGTCAGCATTTGCATATTCTATGAAGGCTTAAATCAAGTGCCTGGGAAGGGCAGAGTGTACTAACAACTCTGCCAGCTGCAAAGGGTGGTGGGGAGTGGTGACATTGGACCTGGACCTTAGAAGCCGAGTCCCAGATGCTGGTCAGATGAGGGAAGGAGAGGCTTGGTGGTGGAGAGGAGGGTGTATGTGAAGGCCCAGGGTCTGCAAGGGTGTGGGACTGGCTGGTCAGTGTGTCGGGTGAGGATGGGAGCTAAAGTGGGGCTGCGGTTACATTTTCAAAGAGCTAAAGTACCAGCATGAGGAACTTGACTATGTCTCTGTCCTGTGGTCAGGGATGGCTCCTTTAAAGCATTCTGAGTAGAGGACGGGGCTGGGGAATCTTCTTGTTCCCTCTTCTGTGGGAAGAATCCTGGCTGCAGCTCAGGGTGGGCTCTGAGGGCCTCCCTGGGCGTGAAGGGCACCAGCATGTTGACCACCCTCCATTCATTGCCAGGTCTCCCTGGTCTTTAACGACTCAGAAGCTGTTTAGGTGCGGGAGGGTTTGGCGTGGCTCCGTGCAGGGAGCATCTGCCTCCCACCCAGAGACTGTGTTGCGCTCAGGACCTTGTGGGTCCTGACGGTTGGGATGGAGCTGGCTCTTCCCAAAGGTACTTCTCAGCAAGCAAAACAGAGGCCTCTATCTCCCTGACATGCGGAGGCCTACCAAGGGCAGACGCTCTCTGCAGGGTCCCCGACAAGCTTGGGCTGCTTGGACTCAGAGCCCAGCCCTCACAGCACCTGGGGACAAAGGCCTGGCTGGTGGCAGGAACAAAGGTGGGGGGGCTTTTTTGGAGGCAGTCTGACCTTTTAAAATGTGGGCAACTGATGACATTTACTCTAATTCAAATAGTAAAACCCCCTATAGTGGAATTGAACACACAGAAAAGCATGAGGGAGAACTTGAAGATCAGCCATAATTTCAATTATTTCTATTTTTCTCTTCCTACTATTCTGTGTGTGATTTTTTTTTTTTAAATAAGAGAAAGTATTTGCAAACAAAAACAAAGAAGAATTCCCTCCTATTCCCCAGACTTCAAGACAGAAAAAAATAAAATCATCTATTATCATGCTGTCCTAAAATAATCAACTTTATATTTGGGTATGCTTCCTGTATCCCTATGTATTATGGCAGTGCACTAATAAATATGTTAATATATGACATCATATTACATATAACTATATAAATATGTTTCTATAATAAACTAATTTCTTAACTATTATAATTAATATGCATATATTAATAAAAGTAGATATGAATATATAAATATATATACATATATCTATTTGCTAATGCAGTTCTTGCTAAGCAGCACCCAACAGTGAGTCTTGAGGAAGTTTCCAGTCTTCCCTGTTTATCCATGTAGTGAAGGTCCTGCCTGTTCATCTTCACGTGAACTTCCAGGGGCTTCCTCAAATATTCATTGTGAAGTTAAACTAAATCATCCTAAACTGGGGGCAGAAATGGTATTTCCGTCTCCTGATCTATACTACTTAAATAGTTTGTCCGAGAACCAAAGGTGAATCTGGAGGGACGTGAATGCCGAAGATCCATCGTCCCATGTAGGATGCAGACCACTCTGGAGCCAGGTGGCAGAGATCCCCCCAGGCAAGGCTCTGATACGCTCTTGGATGGGCCTCCAATGTGGCACTCTAGCCATCTGTCCCGTTAGCACAGCCTCTCCAGAGGCCTCCACTCAGGAAGGGATCGGTCCCACTGGAAGCCAGCCATCAGTATCCCTCTCCTCCCAGGGTTTCTGTGTCTGTCCTCCTGGGTCCCTGTAGTCTTCTTGCTGGCCTTTCTCCCTGGTCATTTGAGGCAGGAGGAGAGGAAGCCAGTCCAGAGAGAGGGACATCTCCTTCCCCGAGTCTTCATGTCCTCTCGGAGGCCGATGGATTGGCCTTAATACTCTGGAATTCTTTTTCCTCCGCCAACCAAGCCCCACCTCTGGCTCCCTGGCCTTTCAGTGTCATGCATTTTATCATAAAAATACAACTTATCAGGTACACAGTGCCCCGAAGAGGAGGCGCCAGGCTCTCGCTGTTCCTTGGATTTCTCATCAGGTTCTGGGAGCCGGAGCCAAGCACAGAGCAAACCCTCCAGGGTGCCTCTCCGCGGCCCTCCAGACCCTGCAGGCCTGGCCTCAGCGTGAGAACCTCGAGCCCACACCAGCCGGCGGAGAGCAGGGGCTGTTCTCCCAGGGACCCTCTGTTCTGCTCTGTGCCCTTGCAGACAGTATGATCCCTCCTTTCCTGACCCCTGCCTTTGGCAAGGGGCCTTAAATTTTGACCCAATATCTCACATCAGGGCCTCCAAAATAGCCGCTGTGAGAAATGAGGGAAAGGAAAGGTTGTCACCGAAAGAGAGACATCTGCCTTCGGGCTTTAGCTAAGTGGGAAAATGAGACGGGGTGGCTGTTCTTCCCCCTGCGCCTCCTGCTCTGCTGTACGCATCTGTCCTCCCCTCCTTCCCTTCTTCCTTCCACAAACATTCATTAAGCTAATGATGTGAATAGCTAACATTTCCTGAGCACAGGCTGCGAGCCGGGCACGATGCATGCGGTTTTAAATCTAAATGTTGGTCACCAGCCTGGGAGGGTTCTGCTTTTCATCTTCTGATGAGAAATCTCAGGTGGAGAGGGCCGCGGGGCCTCTGGTGGATGTGAACTGTGTTCCAGGCCAGGTGAATGAAAGGAGGTTGGAGTGACAAATAGACATGACCCCTGCCCTCCAGAGGCTTCCAGGTGTGAGGCAGAGGGTGAAGGTGTGTCAGAGTGATACCAGAAGGAACTGGGACAGCCTCTGTTTTTTTGTTTGTTTTTTGGTGCCGCAGAGGATTGAACCCAGGGGTACTTTACCACTGAGCCACATCCTCAGCCCTTTTTATTTTTTTATTTTGAGACAGGGTCTTGCTAAGTTGCTTAGGGCCTTACTAAGTTACCGAGGCTGAATTTCAAACTTGCGATCCTCCTTCCTTAGCCTCCTGAGTTGCTGAGATGATAGGCATGCACCTTCGTGCCTGGCTTGGCATAGCTTCTGTGAACGTGGTGGGCAAAATCCAAGTCTCATTTAATTTCAATTTCCAAAAGTGGCCGTGCTGGGCCTTCCCCGCTAGATGCTTTCCCTTGTTCTTTCCCTGATGGAAAACCTCAACCCATCTTGGGAAGCTTAGCTCCTCTACCCTGCCTTCCTAAGCTTTCTCATGTCTCTTTCCAGGCTTAAGCTTTTCACATGATTGCAGTAGGAAGAACTGTGTCTCAGGGATGGTCGTATCTTAGTGGGTTTCACCCTTTGAGCACAGAGCATCAGATCCAAGTAAATTCCCTCTTCCTTTCCTCATGCCTAAAACCTCATAAGGCCACAAGATTATATACACACACCAGCAAAAGGGTCTCATGCAGTATTTCCCAAACTGTAGTCTATGACAAAATCCCATAATCGAACCAAGGAATGTGGTATTCTATAATCCATTTTAAGAGGTTTTATAGAGACCAGTCATTTCTACAAAAATGAAACCCATTCATCTTCATGTTTCCTCATATGTGCTTAACCATGGAACTCCCTATCCATGAAATACTTAGCAACACTACCTTGAAAGCTCTTGTTCTATGGAACACGGTTTGGGTAATGATCAGTTAAATAGTAACTCAGACCTGGTTTAAGAAGTCAGTGTGTGCTGTTAGTTCTACGGACACCGTGGTCTGGAAGGGTTAGGGAGGCCTTCTAGAAAGGGGGAGACCTGAGTTGAGCCCTCTAACAACCAATGTAGGCTAACTGTCTATCAAACCAGCCCCAAATCTCCACAGCCTAAACCAATAAAAATGTACTTGCAGCGTAGCTCAGTGGAGAAGCTGCATTACACTCCAGAGACCAAGCCCTCATGGCTGCTCCCCAAAGCCCTTCCTTTTCTTCTAGCACCTGGGGTGGGGGAAAGAGGGAGCAAGAATTGCTCTTGGAAAGTTCTTCTGGACCACGCTGGAGACAGCTCACATCCCTCCACTCAAATTCTCCCATGCAGAACTCAGCCATGGGGCTAGTACCAGTCACACAGGAGACGAAGTCAAGTGCTTAGCAATGCGCCCTAAATAAAGGAGGCAGGACAGATCTTGGGGAGCACCAGCGGTCTCTGCCACTCAGAGCTGAACCCCGGGGGTCCCCTGACCCAGCTGACTTGGTGCCTGTGCTTCAGTCTTGTGAAGATGGCACTAGAGGGGGCTGTCGGGGGAGAAACACCAGCCACCATAACTGTCCTTCTGTGTGGAGCTCCACATCTTGAGCCAAGTCTCTCCAACTGCTTTCACCGTGTGGGTGTTGAGTTCCCTGCTCACCAGCAAATTCCCCAGGAACAGGATATGTTCTCCAGGGCTTCTCTCCTTTCCTCTTTCATTCGCCCTCTGTCCTTCTCCACCTGGGGCTGTCACAGTCTGTTCTAAGGGTCAACCATCCAGCTGAGTCATCAAAGGCCCTTGCCCTCTTATTAGCTGCTCTGCCAAGGCCTAGTTTTCAGAGTTAAAAACAACTGAAACACAAGTACACGGTGAACACCTGTGCATGATCCATTTGACTCATTAATGAGGAACCATCAAGATATGACGAAGATGGTACAAAGGACACGGGACACCAAAGTATGTATAGTCAATAAGAAACAGAACCCTGGATCAGATCACAAAGAGGGATGCACCCATGACTAATGTCCACCA